GTGACCCCTCTCACTTTGACGAAGGCTTTTTTTTTCTTCTATTTTTTTGAGACGAAGTCTCGCTCTGTCACCCAGGCTGGGGGGCAGTGACGTGATCTCGGATCACTGCAACCTCTGCCTCCCAGGTTCAAGTGATTCTCCCGCCTCATCCTCCAGAGTAGCTGGGATTACAGGTGCACACCACCATGTCTTTTTTTTTTTTTTTTTTTTTGTATTTTTAGTAGAGATGGGGTTTCACAATGGTCTCTCATCATTTCAGGAGGTCTTGAACTCCTGACCTCAAGTGATCCACCTGCCTTGGCCTCCCAAAGTGTTGGGATCACAGGCGTGAGCCACCACGCCCGGCCTGATGAATGCCTTTTTTTAGTACATTCCCTACTGGTGGAAGCAGCTTTGGAAGACAGAGAAGAAGATGCTGTCTGCAGGCTGAACTGGAGGGCGAGCCAGCTACGCAATCTGCCTGTGTCCACGACCAAAGCTGCAGGCATGCTCTGTGGCTGAAGGCTCACGCCATCTTCCAGCTGCTCTTAAGTAGAATTTCAGGACTTAAGGAGCTCCCTGGTAAAGATGTGGTGTCAGGAAATCGCCTGTGGATCTAGGGATGAGCCTCTCGAACATTAATTCCTAGTATGTCACTCTTGACTGTCTGCCCTCCCCTAGTGTGAGTAGCGTGTGATCTACTCGGAGCAACAGAGGATTTGGAAGCACAGATTCCACCTGGTTATCTCAAAGTGCTATATGGAATAAGCATGAAACATTAGGATGACAGCCGTTTTTTCCCTGCAACCCAGAGAAGGAAAATGTTGCGCTCATAGTGGCAAGTTTACAGCACTGCGTGGTTGTCTGCTTAGAGCATCCTCCTGGCAAGAGGCAACTGGGGAGTCGATTTTAATGTCATCAGCTTTTTTGCCCGACACGGATGCCGCAGAAGCTCCCCTGCTTCTGAAGGTCTGAGGTGCAGCCTTTGATGAGTCTCCTGTCCTAACGGTGCCTAAAAACTAATCTCTGCGGTCTGCCCCATCTTATTAATGTCTTTCAGTCAGTCACCCTCGTGCAAACCCATTTATTTCTCTGGGGGACAGAAACATTTGCTCTGAACCTGACTCTCCATGTTACAAACCTTGTCGGGTCAATGGAGGTGTCTTTTCCACCCGTCCCCCTTTCTACAGCTCCAGGTCAAAAGATCAGGAAAGCCATTGCTTCATCTAAAACTTATTTTTTATTTTTTTTTTTCAGACAAAGTCTCACTTTTTCGCCCAGGCTGGAGTGCAGTGGTGCAATCTCAGCTCACTGCAACCTCCGCCTCCTGGGTTCAAGTAATTCTCCTGCCTCAGCCTCCCGAGTAGCTTGGACTATAGGTGCATGCCTCCACATCCACCTCATTTTTGTATTTTTTTTTTTTTTTGAGACGGAGTCTCGCTCTTGTTACCCAGGCTGGAGTGCAATGGCGCAATCTCGGCTCACCGCAACCTCGTCTCCTGGGTTCAGGCAATTCTCCTGCCTCAGCCTCCTGAGTAGCTGGGATTACAGGCACTTGCCACCATGCCCAGCTAATTTTTTGTATTTTTTAGTAGAGACGGGGTTTCACCATGTTGACCAGGATGGTCTCAATCTCTTGACCTCGTGATCCACCCGCCTCGGCCTCCCAGAGTGCTGGGATTATAGGCTTGAGCCACCGCGCCCGGCCATTTTTGTATTTTTAGTAGAGATAGGGTTTCACCATGTGGTCCAGGATGGTCTCTATCTCTTGACCTCATGATCCGCCTGCCTCAGCCTCTGAGAGTGCTGGGATTACAGCGTGAGCCACTGCGGCCGGCCTCATCTAAGGCTTATTACAAATATTCTGAAGTTATTTTTAACAACAACATCAGTCTCAATGTTTAATATATTTGATGACTAAAGTATAAATGAACCTGAGGGCTATCACTCTATGAATGTAAAATATGAAAAAGAATAGTATAGGTCAAAATGTTTTACTAAAAACCTAGAGGCGGGTCCAGATGAGGTAGAGAATCCAGATTCCCTTTAGAAAGGACACTGCCTGACAGATAGAATCCGGGGCAACAGAATTTTGCAGAGGAGAAAAAAAGAGTGACATATGTAAGCTGTCTTTTATTCAGTAGTTTTAATTTTTGTTTCTTCACGTTTTGCTGAAGCTCATTCTGCAATTAAATTTAGAATCTTTCCATATATATAAATAAAATATATATATATATGTATTTAGCTTAATACACACACCATCTATCTATCTATATATAGGTAGATACACTATTAATGTATAGATAGACAAATAGTGTGTGTCTCTATGCATAGAGAGCGTGTATATCAATGTACAGATAGATTGTGTGTATATCTATATATAGATAGTATGTGTATCTATAGATAGGTTGTGTGTGTGTGTGTATGTGTGTGTGCGTATTAAGCTAAATCCCCTGCCAAGCAACTGGTACTATGGCAAGAAGTCTTTGGGAGAAGTAATGCCAAGACATCTTATGGTTCATCCATTCTTTCATTCAGCGAGTCTGTATTTACTGACATTACGTGCTTGACCCTGGGCTACGTACTGGGGACACACCATGTTGGAGACACAGGTCTAGCCCTCAAACTGTTGGGGCTCCAGGAAGTGATAACAAGTACACAACCAATGACAGTGAGGTACGGCTGTGTCATAAGAAAGAAACTCTGGACAGAGGCAGCTAAGACCCAGACTAGGCGGGAGGGGTCAGGGAAAGCACTGGTATGGGGTGTCTTCCAAGTTGTGAAGTAAAGACCTAATGGAGACCAGCCAGGTCCAGGCATGGGAGTGTGGGAAGAAGCGTGTTCCAGGAAGAGGGAATAACACAGAAAGCCTGTTCTATAAAGCAGTGGGAAAAACGTGAACTTCTCTCATTCGCCTAATTCAACATTTTCTTAGTTTTATAGGGTTGAGGATAACCGCTCCAAAACAGCTGTGCACATCAGTAATTAAAGCTATTTTTTCCCTCAAAGCAGGCTGGCCAAGAGATAGTTTTTGAACTGCCATTTGAGATCTCATTTCCTATTCCAGAAGGTGGCTTCTTTCTAAACCTCCAAGCTTTGATTCAGGAAAAGCATGTAAAACACTCCACACCACTCACCTATGAACTCTTCACACTGACTCTTGGCATTTTGAAGCCTCAAAAGTTTCTCAGTTCATGATTCTGCTAATTAAAGAGATCTCACTCAACTTGACGATTTCCCTTCATTGCCTCATTCCTCTAAATTCAAACCAGAGGCTTGACTTTTAGTGACTTTAGGCCATGGAATGCAGCCTAAAAAGGCCATAATCGAAAATGCAGGAGAACCCTGTATACAGGGATATGTTACTCATGGCATTTACCTGTAATAGTGGAAAACTGTTTTTAGTTTTGTTTTCTTCCAAGATGGAGTTTTGCTCTGTCACCCACGCTGGAGTGCAATGGTGCGATCAATGGCTCACCACAACCTCCGTCTCAAGGGTTCAAGTGATTCTCCTGCTCAGCCTCCCAAGTAGCTGAGATTACAGGCATACACTACCATGAGCAGCTAATTTTTGTCTTTTTTTTTTTTTTTTTTTAGTAAAGACAGAGTTTTACCATCTTGGCCAGGCTGGTCTCGAACTCCTGACCTTGTGATCTACCCACCTCAGCCTCCCAAAATGCTGGGATTACAGGTGTGAGCCACCGCACCCAGGTAGGAAAACTGTCTTTTAAAAATCCCTTAAATATACTCAAATGGGGGAATGATTAGATAATAATGGTATATCAATTTCTAGAATTTATATAGCTGTTCACAAAAATGATAAATTATAGTAACTTAGAAAATGTTAGTGAAAGACAATATTAAGTAGAAAAATAAGATATGTGGAATTACACATATGATTACAGCCATGCAAGAAATATAAATCTAAAAAATGCTAGAAAGAAATCCACCCAAAAGAAAACAGCACCTGAATTAGTGTCATGTGATTATGAGCCTTTTCCTATTGTTTCCTCCATTGCATTTATAAAGGCTTTATAATTTGAGTCCCATTAAAAGTATTAACTCAACGTCAGCAGTTTGAGCATTTCAATTCCAAGCGGCATGTACAAGGCAACCCGAGACAAAAGCGTGTGCATGTGAATTTCCCCTTTGAAGTGGCATCATTTCCCCCACGACTGAGCAGGTGGGCATCCTCTCAACCCACCGATGAACTGCGACTTCTTCACTGCAAAATGTGATAGAGAACGAGACACAATGTGCCGGGACCTGAAGATAGACATCTAACTATAAATAGCAAGGAAATGTAATAAAAATTGGCATTGAACAGCAGATCTGGAATGGTGAACTCTGGAAGTCAGAATTGGAGACACCATTCTTGAGAGCTTTGGGTCAAACAACAGTCTGTTTCAAAGCAAGTTGAAAAGGAGGAGGGTCTATGATTCCAATTACCTCTCCAACTTTGCCGACACGGATGTGTTCTCAGTTGGGATTAATTGATTGATTTCATGCATCTCAGTTTCTCCAGATGCTCACAAGTGATGCCAGTGTCGACCCATGGGATGGGTAAGAAGGGGTTCGCTTAGCCCTTAGAAAGAGGACAGAGCACAGAGACTGTGCCTCTTTATTCTCAACTGGAAAAGAACAAAGCTTTTTCTCTCCCTTCTGGGCAAGGAAGACTAAATCAATTTTAGTTACAGCAAGAGTTATTTAGGTTACATTGTAGTTAACTCCTTCCAGGCAGAAATAATAGCTAATGGCATTGTGCAATTTCCTTTTCTAGAAATTTGCAACAATAGGGTAGATATATATCTGGCCTTGAATGCCTTAGGCTGGTGTACAGACACAACCAAAATAGCACACACACAAAACACCCTGTTGTGTCCTAGTCATTCTTTCACAGATTTTAACAGACAGAGATTTAAAAACAGTTTACCATCTCCCCCTTCATTCCCAGCCAAATCAAAGTCTGAAACCACATCAGTCTCCAAAGAAACTTAGAAAGTTGACCAAAAGTGATTTACCTGTACTAGGAGTTCCAGCTTCCTGTCATCAAGAAGATGTACTTGACATCGGCGGCCCTCCGTCATCTAAGAGGGAAGAGAAATGGTAGTCACTGAGAGTCTAGCAGCCAAAGGGTTAGAGAGTTGCTGATGCTGGGCTCTGCCAGGCATATTCCTCTGGGCAAAACTTCCTCTGGGAGTCAGCACTGTATAATGCCAGGAATTGGAAGGATCAGTTCATTCATTCATTCGAAAATATCTACCGAGCACTTTCTTTCCTTTTGAGACAGAGTCTCGCTCTGTCACCCAGGCTGGAGTGCAGTGGTGCAGTCTCGGAACACTGCAGCTTCCGCCTCCTGGGTTCAAGCGATTCTCCTGCCTCTGCCTCCCATGTACCTTTACAGGTGTGTGTGGTGCCACGCCTGGCTAATTTTTGTATTTTTAGTAGAGACGGGGTTTAATCATGTTGGCCAGGATGGTCTTGATCTCCTGACCTCATGATCCACCTGCCTCTGCCTCCCAAAGTGCTGGGATTACAGGCGTAAGCCACCTGTGCCCAGCCTGAGCACTTTCTATATGCCAGGCACTTTTTTGGGAGCTGGGTGTACAGTGGCACATAAGACAAAGTCCCCATCCTCATGGAGCTTGTATTCTAATGAAGGAGATATAAAATAAATTAACAAATACATATATAACATATTCTCAGGGGTGGTAAGTGCTGTTCATTCTTATCTTCCATTCAATAATTATATCCACATGCACTAGGGTCAGAGCTCAGGATCCAATCTCTGCCTTCTCTTCATTTATCCCACTTGCTGGTAACCAGAAAGCAGATGACCACCCACCTGGCAATGAATTTGATTTCTGTGTTAGTTAATCAGCCCCCTTCTTGTGTATGCCCTGATTCCCTACAGTGCTGTCACCAACAATAGAAAAGCATTGGAGACGAGCCCACAGGCAAACCCAACCTTTCCCACTTGTGCCTTTCAGGACTAAAACCTCTGAGTGGTGTAACAGAAAGACTTGGGGAGACCCAAGTCTAGTCTTGGTGCTGCTGGTTACAAGGGGCTGCAGGACTCTAGACAAGTCACCATTCGTCTGCCTGCCCCTGTCTCATATACAAAAATGAATGGGCCGGGCCCAGTGGGGTGCTGGTAAATGTTTAACGACTGGCTTTCTAGAAGGAAAAAGCCTGATTTGTAGCATTTGCTGGAGCCCGGCAACACCCTCACAGGAAATCCTTTGAAGAACAAGGCTTCTCATGGATGTCAGCTGGTGCCTGTTCTAACCATAAATTGTCTAGCTGCACTCTAAATACCTTCACTGTGTGATTTCAAGTTACTGTCATGGTAACACTGCTAGTAATCCCAACACACAGATACAGCAGACAAAAGTGACCTCCGCTCATAGAAAACAGTTAAGTACTATAAAAATCATTAGGAAGGGATAGATTCTTATTATCTTTGTTTTTTCACACCATGTGTTTAAGCATGTGTATATCAGTTAATTTTAACAATGGCTACGCTTTACAATAGGCACCCTGCATTCCTGAAAATATAGCAATGGGCTCTCACAGGCTAGTATGAACTAGCTCCAACACCATTGTCTGGACCAGATGACACATACGTTTTCTTCCTTGTATTTCTTTCTCTCTCTTTTTTTTTTTTTTTTTGATGGAGTCTTGCTCTGTCACCAGGCTGGAGTGCAGTGGCATGATCTCGGCTCACTGCAACTCTGCCTCCTGGGTTCAAGCAATTCTCCTGCCTCAGCCTCCCAAGTACCTAGGACTACAGGTATGTGCTGCCACACCCGGGTAATTTCTGTATTTTTAGTAGAGACGGGGTTTCACCATGTTGGCCAGGCTGGTCTTGATCTCCTGACCTCGTGATCTGCCCGCCTTGTCCTCCCAAAGTGCTGAGATTACAGGAGTGAGCCACTGCGTCTGGCCCCTTCCTTGTATTTCTTTAGATAAATACCTTTAGAGAATTCAATGCCTATTTTATAGGACTCTATAGCTCCCACTAAATACAAGTTCTTTTCCCCAGCTAACCGGTCACTTTAAGAAGATTTAAAAAAAAGGATGCCATAGAAGATCCTGGCTTTGTCTCCTTGTTCGGCCATGAGGGTCCTTCTCATAAGCTCTTCCACCAGGAAAGATAAAAAAGACAGTCTCGGATGAAATACGATCTTGCCTTTACACATGTAGCACAGTGCTTGGCTCTCAGGGAGCTGTTATTTTAATTTTTTTTTTTTGAGACAGAGTCTTGCTCTGCTGTTCAGGCTGGGGTACAGTGACACAATCTCAACTCTCTGCAACCTCTACTTCCCAGGCTCAAACGATCCTCCCACCTCAGCCTCCTGAGTAGCTGGGACTACAGAGCAGTCTCATTTCTCTCATGAGTTACAGGATACACCAACTCTCCAGGCTAAAAATCTCCCTGACATTTCTCAAGGCCTGTTAGGGCCAGAGCTGCTCCCCTGACAAGAATGAGCGTCTCTGCAATTGGAAGCAGGTGGCACAGAGGCGAGCTGAGGGCGCTACTGCACTCACGGCTCAGTCCCACCCAGTGGCCAGCGGCATGCATCTTCACGACCCTCTCCTCGACCCTGAGCTCCTAAGACCAGGAGTTATGGACTGGAGTGTGTTTCCCTAAAACGCATAGGGTGAAGCCTTGACCCCCAATGTATTTGCAGGCAGGGCAAAATTAAATAAATAACAAAAAAGTCTCTTCTCTTTGGTTCAACAGGGATCATTCACTAATCACCAACATATCCAAAGCTGTCATGAAATTCTATGAGAAAATTATCTTATTCGTTCCTCAGAAGAAGTCATCCCGTATTTCCATCAAGTCAGAGTTCCCTTGTTTTGGGGTCTAAATCAGCACAGCATGTCCTGCTTACATGGGGCTAATCTCGATGTCTCTTGATTCTGAGCTATAACACTGACTCAGCAGCCCCCAGCTCTGAGAACCGAGAAAAGTTTCACATACTCATAAACCTTCCAATGAACAGATTAGAAACCGAGGAAAAACTTCAATCCAAAGACTTGCCATTCCGCACATACAAGTCGAAGCAGGCAGCTGTGGACATTGGATGGGTCTACGCAAAGTCCTTATTCACCCGTTGAACTCTTAACTGCAGGTGTTAATTGCCTTAGTGGGAAAACGAGCTCAAGTCCTATGTAGAATCCATCAGTCTTGCACAGAGTAAGCATCCTCACTGATTGACTTAATTTTTAAAAATTCCATCAGCTTCCTTTCAATCATTCCCTAAGTTCAATGAAAGCCACTACAATTTTAAATTAGACTGACATAGCTGCTGCTATACCAACATGTATAAATGATTCCTTCATCAAAAAAGCACACTAGAAGTGTTAATTTCAAGTTTCAACAGGGCAGATAATAGCAATTGCACAGGTACTTTAGATAAAACGTTCAAGCTACACTGATTCAGTTCTCATTAGAAAGAACCTAAGGTCAATAGAGTAAAAGTTTTAAGAAGGAAAATGGTTATCACATTCAGGAACTTTTGCTGAAATTCTTTTAAAACTTTAATCATAAATTTGAGAAAAGTCTCAATCGAGAATAGGAGAGAGTTTTAAGAAAGAAATGCTGTTTGTTTTCTGCATTTTAAAACAGTTTTGAGCTTTGTTTTAATCATAAAACTTTAAGGGTATAAACATGCTCTTGAGTTACTTATTCACAGTCTAATTAATTTTATGAAAACAAACTGGTATCTGAAAGACATTATTGAATCAAAGTTTCAATCACAGTAATAAAGAAGATGAAATGTATCATTTTCTCGAAATATTTCCAAGCTCACAAAGTTCACACTCACACTTGTCTTCCCTGAGGTTCTCATTTTCATCTGAAAAAATAAATTCTCATTACATGAAATAATCCCACCTTACCTACTTAGCAATTTAAGGAAGTTACTATACATCATGATACTAGTATGCACTCTAAGTCTTCCAATTTCTTTCTTCTCCTTAACAAATTCCTGGGAAATTTACAAGCCTACTCCATATTTTAGTGCCTCCCTTTAGAAAGCAAAATGTCTCTGCCAACAGTCAGCACAGAGAAGTGTTTATACAGACTCACCTTTGAATCATCATGTTTTTGAAGGTACAGCTTTCTTTTGACGGCACTGCTGTGGTCTATTTCTCAAAAGGGAGCACCTGTCTGTTGTTCCATACTCAAGTAAGATTAGAGTATCCTGTTCTCACCATCAGTTCAGAAAAGCTTCACCATTCTGGGTATGTACACAGAAAGAATTGACATCTGTAGCTTTGTCTGGCTTGCCAGACACACTGAAATCTTCTTTTCAATACTAACAACAGTGAAATAATACTGCTTTCCTTTTTTTTTTTTTTTTTAATTTCCAGCTGTTCAGGCACTAGTGGAGCCCTAGCGTCACCCTCAAAGGAAATTCTTTTGAGAACAAGACTTCTCATAGATGTCAGCTGGTGCCCATTCCAATTATCAATTGCCTTGCTATGATACAATTCTAGCCCAAGCAGCGGCCTGCCAAGTGCCCTGTGATTCTAAAGGAAATATGGAAAAGTGCTATTTTGAAAGTGAAGTGTCTGCCCCAATTTATCCAACTTTGCTGTTAAGGTAGACTCTGACGTGCAGACTGTGCAGAAATATGGAAACACATTTATGATACTAGCTTCAGTGAACACAACAGACTAGCACTGACATGAATCCTAGCTGGGTGCAGTGGCTCACACCTGTAATCCTAGGACTTTGGGAGGCCGAGGCAGGCAGATTGCCTGAGCTCAGGAGTTCAAGACCAACCTGGGAAGCATGGAAAAAAACCCTGTCTCTACTAAAAATACAAATAAAATTAGCTGGGCATGGTGGCACACACCTGTAGTTCTAGCTACTTGGGAGGCTGAGGCATGAGAATTGCTTGAACCCGGGGAGGTGGAGGTTACAGTGAGCCAAGACTGTGCCACTGTATTCCAGTCTGGGTGAAAGAGTGAGACTCTGTCTCAAAAAATAAAAATAAAACAATAAAAATAATATGTATCCTAATTGTCATGCACGTGGACAGGGATTAAGAGGTGAAAACAGAAATACAGG